CTCATGCTGTAACTGCTGTAAACTGAACCTCTATCTACTTTATTCGTTTTTAAATGAAGCTGTATTAATTTCTGATATCTTATTGAACATTGTTGGCCACTTTGTTCTGTTTGCTAGCTTCTATATTGACCCGGGAGGGCTTATGGTTGCTGACTTGCTTCATTTGGGATTAGTACTTTTCTATAGTATTTTGTGTATTCTCCGGAATGGAATCCCCTAATCTTGCCTACATCTTGTTTTTACTACTTGGAAACTTAGCAACGGGAGTTGTGGGTTTTCATGTTCAGGTGTCTCGGAAGTGAAACACGTCGAGCTGCGCATTAACGGGTATTTGTTAGTTAGAGGGTAGGTTGTTAGGTTGTGAATGACCAAGTCTAGGGCATGACCAGGTCCCGGCCGACTCCCAGGCTTTTCGAGCTCCGCCAATAAGCCAACTGATGGGCCGACTCCCATTCTCTTGTATTGTCTGATCCGCACTAGTGCTATCTGTTGGGTTTTATGCCCTAAACTCGTGGTTTGTAAACATAAAACAAATATTCATTCAATAAAGTTGTTATTGATAGAATTGCATTAACCCAAATCCAATAAACTAACATCCGAGGTTATGTCATGTAACTGCAACAGTATATAACAGATATACAGTATATATTCGATATACAGGGTATATATTTGATATACAGCATATATATTTGATATGTATATAACAGATATACAGTATATATTCGATATACAGGTGGATAATGTTCCTGTAGTAACCTAAAGGGTCTATAGTATATGGATAAGATTAAGTACCTTATCCTGGTAACACTATAAATATGGCCCACTTTGTAATAGTTACAAATGACTTGATCCAAGTCGTTCGTGTGGAGACATGCGAGTGGGGGTATCCTATACAATGAGTTTTTATAAGACTGGACCACGAAATAATTACTCTTTAGCTATAACACCGTTAGCTAATAGATTAATATTTCAATAGGATGACCAGGTAACTCGATCTCAATTCTAAGTGAGTTATGGACTCCTGCCTGTTAGGGCTAGTCCTTTGATTTGTATGGGTGAGAGTGACTCAAGTTGCCGACTCAATATACCTACCATTTTGGGGACGAGACCGAGTGGAGAGCTAGGAACATAACTACACAAGATGGAATTCACTCCTTCCCGACTTCAGGGTATGTAGATGAGTGTTCTTTTGACTGCTGACTCCGGGACTTGAACAAGGGCCCCCCCCTCTCACTGGCCCGAGAAGGACTTCCGGTTATTGGTTGGACCATAACCAGATTGTTCATTAGAGGATCAATGGTACATAAGGTACAAGATGTAACACAAGGGTAAAATGGTAATTTGACCCAGCTGTGGTTACGAACACTCGTGAAGGATTGACTTGCTGTTAATGGTCGATATCCATGGACACAGAAATATTCTATAATGAGAAGAGTTCATCTACGGGTTTTTAATGGAGTAACCCATAGTTAACGTATTGTTGATTAAGGTGGTTAATGAGTTTAACCAATTAATCTCATAACATTGGAACTTCTGATCTATAGGTCCATTAGGTCCTCTTGCTATCTCGTAAAGGGTAATTAAGAACATTAAATCTACAGTGAGAAGAGTGCAACTGTGGGTCTTTAGTGGAGTGACCGACAGTTAACGAATGTTGATTAATATGGTTAATGAGTTTAATCAATTAATCTCGTATCGTTGGAACTTCCAATCTGTAGGACCATTAAGTTCCCTTGCTAGCTTGTAAATGATAGTTAAGAATAGTTAGTCTTGAAAATAATTTGAATTGTTCAAATTAGTTAAAGGGAATTAAGGTTGATCGTATGAGATGCAATTAATATAATGTATGTTGATACATTATAATATAACGTTAATTTTGAATTAGATTCAAAATTATGAGAGAGATGGATATTAGAATTTGATTTTAATATAGTTGATTAATTTAAGTTTAATTTAATTGAATATGATTTAATTAAATTAATTAAATTAATGTGATATATTAATTTGGTTAAATTAAATTAGATTTAATTTAATGAAATTAATAATTTTTTCTTTTTAATTAATTAAATTAGATTCAATTAATTATTATTTTAATTAAAATAAAAGGAAAAAAAGGAAAAAAAAAAGAAAAAGAAAATGGGAGGTAACCTCCAATGGTGGAAAGTGGGGAAGTGAGTGGGGAAGTGGTGACTTCCCCTCACTCCTCCTTCTCTATAAAAGGGAGTTTCTCCCAATTCCTTTTAATAGTCCCTGGTCCTCGGTTATTGAGTTTTCGAAACTCCGACAAGAAAATCTCTCTCGCTCTCTCGATTTCCCTTCCAATTATAAGACGATTCCCACAAATCGAGTTCTTAACGTCCAGAGGATAGCAAGGAAGACTTTGTGGTGACGTTGATATCTCCATTGAAGAGGTGTCTTTTCAAAGGTATGTAACACTAACTTCTTGTTATTCATACTTATGTGTCTTTTCTTTGTTGCAATTCTAAAACAAGATCGAAGCACTTGCGTTCGCGTGCTTCCGCTGCGGGATCCGATCCCTCACTATCTCCAAAGCCCAAACTATTTTAGAAGAGAAGATATCCTGTCAACCCTCGATTTTTGACATCAATAAATAAAGAGAGAAATCTCACAATCAAGGTACACTGCAAAATTCTACTCTTTGCAATGCTTCACATAAAACTCCAATTCTAACTTAAGCATCAGAGTTTGTGTGGCTAGCACCACACTGGTGAGTAATCATTTTATTTTGTAGGTTTCGTCGATCCTTTTTATTATAGAAGATTGGTACGAACTTGGTAATCTTGATAGGCCAAATTTCTGCATCAACAAATAATTTGAAGAAAAAGCTTATAAACTCTCGTAAATAGTAGATATACAAATTTATGCTCTCACAAATTTGTAAGAAAAATTCTTACAAATAATGTCCTGAATTAGCTAAGAGAAATCAAATTTACAAGCTCAAGAATCTCTCGAAATAAAATCTCTCTCGAATGAAATTTGAAACATTAGAGAAATTGGAGAGAAAATTTGGAGTGAATTGTTGTCCAAATTTGAGAGATAATGATTGTTTAAATATGAGAGAATTGAGTAAGAAAAAAATTTGAAATCATAATTAAATTTGGATTATTGGACCTTTAACCATTAAAAATGAAAGGTAGAGATTTCATAGAAATATAATAATTATATATATTCTTTTTTCTCTTTCTAACCGCTCAAACGACTATTTCTTTTTCCATTTTTTTTTCATTTCATTTCACTTCTTTCTTTCCTCTTTTTTTTTTTTAAGAATTCATATTGTGTTATTTTGTGGTTGGTCCATATTTATGATTCAACTGCCACGTCATTCACCACATGTATTTTTCTTTCAACTTCTTATCCCCATAACTTCTTTGTTCGGAGTTCAAACGTGCACTCTACGTTGGCGAGTGACTCCTCGCCACTTTCGACGTTCATGCCTGCCAAGTCAAGTTTGCCTTAGAATGTACCTTAGGGGGCTATGATTTGGGTAATTAAAAAGTCATTGAAATCGTTGTATCGAACTCGACGCTGTGGACACTTTAAAACGCTAAAAATATCAATAAACAAAATTAGGTTATCATCGAAATATTAATTAATCAATTAGTTAAAATTAATTAATTTCAGTTTAAATGCCAAAAAACCAATAGAGATATCCAAATATGAATTAAATTTACCTAATCCATCAGCCTAAACTTTTTGGTTGATTACTAGTTTATTCACCTTTAAGATGACATCAGAGCGGGTGGTCATGTGTTCTAACTCCTGCATTATTATTTCCTTACCATTTATTATGATTTCCACTTATTGAGTCTTAAGTTTTTTGGTTGAATGGTGATTTATGCGTCCTTAAACTTAAAATTTTAGGGTCACACATGTTCTTTTTTTTAATATTTTTCTTTGAAAGAAAAAATGCTAAGTTCTAATGAATCATTAAGACCAGTTTACCAGAATACCTAACGAAAAATAAAATGGTTTTTATTTCTTTCGGAAGGTCAAATTTAGTTTGACGATTTTGCCCTTCATTCCGTCTAGGTACCATAAAACTAGAAGGAGACCTTTTACATAAATGAAAAGGTTTTTCATAGGTGTGACACTGTTAGTTGCCCAATTTGGTCGGTCGGGTTAGTTTTCTTTTCTGTTTTCTCCTTTGTCGTCATTTAATTATTACGTTCTTTGTTCTATAATATTATTATATTTGTGTTTATTTTATTCTTCATATATATATATATATATATATAAATGATTCTTACCATGTATTTAGGATTGCTTTCAAAATATGTATTTTTCAAGTAAATGTTATCAAAATAACATGTCAACTTGGATATAATTCAACATTTATTATCATCCACAAAATCGATGGTTTCATCTACACCTTATAATTAATTATTCGTTATTTAATTCTAGAAAAAAAATTATCCTGAAACAAAAAAAATAATATATGCCTTAGTGTTTTTTATCTAGTCTCTATTGTTTTAAAGGTTTCACATTAGTCCCTTATATTTTTTATTTTTCAACTTAGTGTCTCATAGTTCATGAAGATTAATATTAGATGATGATAAACTTACATGGCAAAATACTTTGGGATTTTGATAGAAATTTAGAAAAGAAAACTTGAAACCAATTTCGTACAAATTTAGAAGAAGAATTAGAAATGTTTCTCTATTTGATAATATCTTTCCTCTTTTAAATTTTCACAAACTCACTAAGTATTATGTCAAATAAGTCTATCATCAATCAATTTTAACATGTATCAAATTATTAAATTGAAAATCGATAAAACATAATAGACCAAACCAAAAAGTAAAAAGTATAATTATATATAATTTTTTGGTAATTATAAAATAAATCGATAAAATAATCGTTTAAGAAAAATAAAAATAGAAAAACTGTCATGTCAACGTCTCCTCAAATATTTTAAAAAGATTCCAGAATCTTGTTACAATGTTAATTTATATAATTAAATGTATGCATCCAAGCATGTGGTGGGCGTGTCGGAGTGGTTATCAGGCATGACTAGATATCATGTGGGCTTTGCCCGCGTAGGTTCGAATCCTAACGCTCACGTTTTTGTTCCTTTCTATCATGTGGGAGTGGGGGATCCAACTCACAATCTTTTGGTTGGATATATATGTTAATTACCGATATGCTCGTTTTGGCTGAACCTTAATGACATTGTCGAACTCTTCGACTTAGGAATATATCGAGGGACATTTTTAATTCCTACTCGTGAGTGTAAAAGTCAATAAGATTCACATTTTCATTATAGAATTATATAAATGAGAATTAAAGGGGTAGATAGTAGATACTAATACATAATTAGAGACTAAATATATGTTTTGGTTCCTAATGTTAGATGTTTTTTTTTCAATCTAGTCTTTATTGTTTTAAAAGTTTCAATTTAGTAATTAATGTTTTAATATTTTTCAATTTAGTGGCTTACTATAGTAAATGTTAAAATTGGTTGATAATAAACTTACATGACATAGTATTTAGTGAATTGGCCAAAATTTATAGGAGGAAAAATGTCATAATTCCTCTCCCAAATTTCTAAGTCGTTGATAAAAATTTCGAGTTTTTTTCCATTGAGGACCTTTTTTATCCTCTAAATTTTAGAAAAAATTTATAGTATTTTGTCCAAGTTTAATTATCAACAAATTTTAACATTCATCAATAACAAGGTAATAAATCGAAAAATGTCAAATCACAGCGGACTAAATTGTAACTTCTCAAATAATAGGGACTATATTGAAAAAAAAACTCCCAAATATGGTGATATATTATTTTATTTAATTTACCATGCCACTCTTTGAAAATAGTGTAGAAAATTACCAATTCCAATGGAGAGCTGACATGACTCTTCATCACGACTTCCCAAGTTTGACATTGGGAAATGAAGAATCCTTAATCATTCAAATATCTCATGTGTACTAAAAACAAAGAAAAAAAATTCAAATGTCTCATGTGAGATGTGAAATTGAAGAACAAAATCAAGGCACTGTTAAAATAAACAAGAAAATATCAAAGGTAAATAAAATTATGGAAAATGAATTTATTTTCCTTCACTTATTTATCTCCCTTAATTTTGCCTCGGGATTATATAGGCATTTAAACTCGAGCACCAAGTCAATGAAACTTGGGCACAAGAAATGTCAACAAGTGTCTTGTGTCCGGTTAGACACCAAATAAGTATGGACATCTAGAAATGATATTTATAATACTCCCCCTTAGATGCCCATAATTTATAGGATATATGCCTCATTAAAACCTTACTAGGAAAAAAATCCAACAGGAAAAAAATCTTAGTGGAGGAAAAAGAGTACATTTTTCATATAATTTTAATAAACTAAAAATGATTAAAATATATTTGCTCCCCTCATGGAATGTTGTGCAGCAACTGCACTAAGATATGATACTTTATGACCAATAAATTCTTCATTATCTTCTTGAGGTTGAAATATATCTTTATTCACATCACGTGAACGAACTTCCATTGGAATGCTCAATGGAGATGTTTGGTCCATATAAACCTTTTTAGAACTTTTCGGTTGACTGATTGACAAATATCTCATCTGCTAAATACTCAATTTGAAAGCCAAGACAAAAAATGTATTTTTCCAAGATTTTTTGTCTCAAATTCTTTCTTAACATATACAGTTATAATGGGCGAATCCCGACTGTGATTTTCTTATAAAAACACATGGACCTTCTTTCAACAAATATCCACTCAGACAATTGTACCACATTAGTTCTAATTGTTTTAATCCATATGATAATCTTTGTGAATACAATTCTCGAGAACTTTGATTATACGTTTCAAGTATCTTAAATCCTTGAGGGATTTTCAATTTCAAATTCAATTTGAATTTCTTTATTTTATTAAATCCTACGACTTCCTTCCAAATTCCTCTGTCACCCTATAATTCCCAGATGTCGAGATCCCTGTAGTTAAAAAATGCTCTCAGAGAACTCGACATAAATGCGGTCATGAAATCGAACAAACTTTCAACTTATTCAGATAGAATTTTTCAACATATTCAATTTGATTTAGTACAAATATTCCCTTAAAAAGTTAAAAAATTAATCATAATGAAGGTGTAATAGGTTCATTTATCCATTAAACTATGTTTGAATTGATATTTTCTTTTTAAATATTGTTAATGGTAATTTTTAACTGAGCACACATGCGTGTGTTATTGAACTCTCAAAAAGAAAGAAAGAAAATGGTAACTTTTAAATTCCTCCCGATTCTGTTTTTTTTGTTTTCTCTATTTAATAACATATACAAGTAGAAAGTATAAAGTACAACCTCACGTCCACGATAACCATTTTATAAAATACCATAATTGATGTGCAGGTTTCCTTAGTCTAAGTTGTCCGACACGAAATCTTCACAAATAGTGACAAATGGACTCCACACGAGTTAAACTCTATCAATCCAAAAGAATATTGGGATCAATCACATTCCACCAATTAAAACTTTCTCGATGCACAAATAAAAGTAATCTTATAATCATGTATGATTTTTTTTTGTTATTATTAGTATTTGTCGAAAATATTACATTACAAATATGAATGTGGAATTTCGAATATTTAATCCACGAAAGACGTTTACTAATGTCATACTAAACTATGGTCTTTTGACGTTAACAATTATAATTAGTAAAAAAAATAGAAAAAAAAATAAGATGTGTTATTTCTCATTGTTCAAGAATACTTCGCCTTTTAAAATCTTAGACTTGAATAAAAAATCTACTTTTGTTTTTAGTTCAACAATGATAGAGAATTTAATCCTCTCGGAAAAAGGGAGGTTAGTAATTTATTGTGATCAATTGAATTATGCTAATGGTAAAATTAATTTTTTATTTTTTAAATCTCGTTGATTATGATTACTTTCCATATAAATCCAAATGAAGGGTATCTCGATTTTTTAGATCACACATTTTGTTCAATTTTTTTTTTTATATCGGTGAGTGTTCGGGCCAGCTTACACGCACCTCAACTAATTTCACATGGCAACCGTCTAACCCTACAACATCTGGTGTCGGGAAACACACAAGAATCACAGGGCAACTTTTGATTCAATCTCCTTCTTATATGTTTTTTGCGAAGGCAATTAGGTTGATGATTTCTTAGCAAAGTACAAGCTTCATTCCCTAACCACGAAATGGTTGTGTAATTTTTCAAGTTGACTTTCAAATATGGTTGTGGATAATATTCCATCAAATGTAGCCCAAGTGACATCTTTATTATAATCACTGAAATATTAAAAGAAAAAACGAAGGGTATCTGACTTTCATTAATCAAATAGGGTTAGAGATCCCATTCATAAATTATATACCAAATTTATTCTTTACCATTAATTTTTATCTTAATTTTTATTGGAGGAACACTGCTAATCAACCACCATTAAAGTTGTTATCAAATCTGAGCATAGTTCAACTAATTAAGATATAAATTATTTGGGGCCGTTTGATAACCATTTCGTTTTTTGTTTTTAGTTTTTAAAAAATTTGATGACCAATTCAATTTTCTGTTTTTTGTTTTTCAAAAACCATTTTGAAATTCTATGTGAATTTAAAAAAAAAAAATAGTTTTCAAAAATAAGGTTTTGTTTTTCAAAATCTCATTCTTTCTTCGCCTACTCAACTTTTTTTTTTCTTTCTCATACTTTATCTTTAGAAATTTTATTTTTCACTCTAAAATTTTCTTATTTCTAAATTTCTCTCTACAAACTGTATTTTTATCTCTCTAAAATTTTCATATTTTGAATATTTATTGTTATTTATCTCTCTCCAAATTTTTCTGTATTTTTTTTCTAACATACCAGTTTCATTTCTCTCCTTAAAAATTTAATATTTATCCTGATTTTTTTCTCTCTAAAATTTCATATTTTATAACTTTTATTTTTCTTCGTAATCTATTTTTTGTCTAAAAATTATATTTTATTTTCTGGTTCAATTTTTTTCAGTGTAATTTTTATTTATCTGTATATTTATTTATTTTCTATAAAAATTATATTTTGAATCTTGTTTTTATCTCTGAATTTGTTTCCATTATAAATTTTCTCTTTCTTTATAATTTATATATTTTTCTTTAACAAATATTTTTCTCTCAACTTTATTTTTTTCTCCAAAATTTTTCTCTTTCTGTCTTTAACTTTTCTTTAACTATTTTTTTTCTAAATATTTTTATTTATGTCTCTAAAATTTATCTCCCAATAATTTATTTACATCTCTATTTTCATGTCTCTACATTAAGGGAAGACAAAAATTTCCACACGGTCAGGTCCCAAAAATAGAAAATGCATGTCCCAACCCTCTCCCGCCCCCGATTCCATTTTTTAAATAATTAATATATATCTATTACACTTTTTAATATTTGAATTCTAAAAATAATTAAAAACAATTATAAAACCAATAATTTTTCTCGAGAACATCTCTCGGACCCAAGAACGAGGTGGAGACGGAGACTAAAAATTTTCACCAGCTCGAGAATGAGGGAGAGTAACCTCACTCGCACCCACACCATTTTTGACTCTACTCTACATAAAATTTTCTCTCTATTTTCAATTTTCTAACTTTTTAAAAACAAAAAATTAAAAATGGTTACCAAACATGTTTTGGTTTTTTGTTTTCTAAAAACAAAAAACAAAAAATGGTTATCAAACATATATGATTTTTGTTTTTTAAAAAAAGAAAACCAAAAGCCAAAATCTAAAAACTAAGAAAACCAAAAACCAAAAACTAAAATGGTTATCAAAGGCCTTAATAATTGTGTTTCTTGTTTTTTATTTCTAGTTTTCTCATTTTAATTTTAAAAAAATAGAATTAAGTTTGTTAATTGTTTCTTATCTCATGTTCTTTATTATTTATTGAAAAAGAAAACAGAAACATGTTTGGTAGGTTGATACTATCTTTTGTTTTTCATTATTAAAAAAAATAAAAACTTTATATGAGATTAATTTCAAATTATATATTTAAAATTGTTTATGTTAGATTTTTTTTTATATTTTTTATTATGAAGAATAAAAAATGGAAATTTTTGAAAACAAAAGCAAGAATCCA